TCTTGCTAGAACACTGCTTCGACAGATTACCTGCCAGGGTCAGAGAGTGGGTCAAAGATCGAAAACCCTCTACCCTACCCGAGGCTGCCCGTCTGGCAGATGAATACACAGACACCCGCAAATTGGACAGTACAGCTACCAAGTTCCCTGCCAGAATGGAGTACAGACCAACAGCAACCCCAGCACCTACAGCATACCAACCACCAGTACACCGCACTCCAGCAATACCGCCAGCAAACAATTATACACAACCATCCCGGTTCAATGCCCGGGATTATTCGCAGCCCATTAGGTGCTTTGGGTGCAAACAGTTGGGGCACAAGCGACCAGAATGCCCACTGATCGGCGCCAATCAAGCCCAGTCGTGAAGGAGACCAGCCAGCGGGAATCAGCGCCCACCTCAGCCTGCTGCTCACTGTATCGAGCAGGAGGAATTCTGGGGCATACTACACGAGGCCGACCCGGGAACAAGCAGCTCATCAGGACAATCGTCAGCAACACCGGCAGACGGTGAAGCTGAATGGCAGAGTGGTGAGCGGACTAAGAGACACAGGAGCCACCATGACACTACTCCAAAAGAACTAAGTCTCAGAACACCAGCACACTGGAGACACTGTGGCAGTGAGGGTAGCAGGAGACGCCGTGTTCCGCCTACCTGTTGCCCGGGTCCATTTGGATTGGGGAGTGGGCGCTAGACACGTGGATGTGGGGGTTATGAAAGACTTGCCCGCTGATGTTCTTCTTGGGAACGATTTGGCCCCTTTCGTTTCTGCTTATGCCCCGATGGGTCCCGCTGACGTTAACCCTGTGACTACTTGTGCTCAGACTCGTGCTACTGGAACCGGCTTGCCTGCTGATGAGACCCAGGTAAGACCCTCTTCCCCGACTGGTACCTTAGATCAAGCCCCTTTAAGCTGGTATTCCCCAGAGGAGTTTGGGAGGGAAACCCAGGCAGACCCGACTCTCCAGAAGTACCGAGATAGAATAGATGCTGGAGAGGAAGGAGTAGATGGGGAGCGGTATGAGTGGGTGGGGGACAGGCTCTATAGGATCCCTAAGCCTTTCCAGAAGAGTGTCACCCCTCCGCCGAATCGCCAGTTAGTGGTACCTGCAAAATGCCGGCAGGAGATTCTGCGGATAGGGCATGATGTTCCGTTAGCTGGACATCTGGGGTCCCACCGCACAGCCTATAGGATCTCGCAGAATTTCCGGATACCTTCCAACGGATGGTGGATAGGCTCCTGGATGGCTTCCAAGAATTTGCCTGTGCATACTTGGACAACACTGCAATTTACAGTGGGTCCTGGGAGGAACACCTGGTTCATGTAGGGGTGGTACTGGATAAGATTCGGGCCGCTGGCCTGACATTGAAGCCAGAGAAGTGCCATCTAGGTATGGCTGAAGTACAGTACCTGGGTCACAGAGTGGGATGTGGGAGCCAGAGACCAGAGCCAGCCAAGGTCGAGGCAGTGGCTAACTGGCCCACACCTACCACTAAGACCCAGGTATTGGTCTTCTTGGAGACGGCAGGGTACTACCGACGTTTTGTCCCTGACTACAGCACTATTGCTAAGCCCCTGACTGACCTGACGAAGAAGAACTTGCCTAAGCAGGTCCTGTGGTCTCCAGCTTGTGAAGCTGCGTTCCAAGCACTAAAACAGGCTCTTGTGAATGCCCCTATTTAGCTGCCCCCGTCCCTAACAAACGCTTTTTCGTCCATACAGATGCTTCCATGTATGGACTGGGGGCTGTCGCATATCTCAGCAGAAAGTTACTACCCAGAGAAGTGAGTTATGCGGCAGTGGAGAAGGAGTGTTTGGCCTTGGTCTGGGCATTAAAGAAGTTAAGTCCCTACTTATACAAGCACGAGTTTTCCCTTGTGAGTGACTGACCATAATCCTCTCGTCTGACTTAACCAGGTTTCAGGAGACAATGGTAGATTGCTGAGGTGGAGTTTGGCACTACAACCCTACAATTTCACTATCAGCTACAGACCCAGTAACCAGAACGGGAATGCAGATGGATTGTCCCGGCAAACTGACATCCCCACCACCTCCTAGTCCGGTCATCCACAAGTTGACCCGCCAAAGGGTCAAGCCGGGTCTGCCGGAGTGTCCCACAAGGAGGAAGCCGTGTGACAGAACCATCTGTATGCCTATGCGTGGTGGATTCATCTGTTTTGCCCTCCTTTCGTGGAAATGGCTGTTTCTATAGCCCATGTATACGAATTGTTACGGTACCTTCAGCATGAAATGTACAAACCGCCGTTTAGTGAATGCTCCCCGTTCGCAATAATGTAGGCTGTATGCGTATCCAATACAATCATGCGAATCGCCAGTAAGGGAACACTCCAAACTCCCGAACGGTATCCGTACGGTCACTTCCCTCCACGAGCTTCAAGCTCACGAACCGTCAATATCAGCCGAACGCCGGTATCTCCCAAGCGGCTAATAATACCATATAGCAGTCTCTAGTCGCCGGTAATAAAATCCCCCCCCAATAACGACACCAAGCTCCGCATTGAGGGTAAAACATGAACTGAGTTTACTGTGGGCTACCCGCCCGTATTTATCCAGGTCTCCCACTTGGTGGACACTCCCTAGGGGACCAAATGGGAGACTGGAATAGCAGATGGACATGTGGCATTTCAGGACATACAGTCACACAATATTCCTAGCATACATCACAGTTTCCACCCCTCTGCCCGGGAGATAATTGAGAAGTAATTCAATTATCTCCCAGAGCAGAGGCAAATCGCCATTTTAAATGCAAATCATAAAACACATAAAAATACATAACTTTATAACTGCTGAACATTTCTCATTCGTGTAAAACATCCCCAGATAGCCTGGATCTGAGTGCATATTATTGGCGAATAGCGCTCAGATCCCATACGCATAGTTCAATCGCCATGGAGTCAAAGTCTATTACAGTTCTTCGGTATGCGATTGACTCCATGGGAAGGCTATCTGGGTTAAGTCCATTCGTGTTGTTGAAACTCCCGAACGGCCAGCATTCGTATGCTTTTGTCGATTGAGAAGGGGAGGTCGACAGCATCAGCGGTGTTCGGTTGAAAAAGTGTCCGTTTTCAGTTCCATGAATTTAGTACCGAACACCGCTGGTCTTTCGCATGGTTTAAAATGGCCGCCGCCTCGTGGTCGACATACGAACGACGACCACCCTGTATTCAGTTTAATTGAGAAGTGTCTGTGGTTAACCGCAACGTTCTAATTGGGATCAATAGGTTAACCAGCAGCACACTTCTCTTCTGGGTGGCCGTCCGTTCGACAGTTTTGTTCGGTAAAAAAAAAACGTCAATTCACTTAAATCCATGCATACGAATGGGTGAGTTCGTGAAACAAGCTAACAGACGAATCCAGCAATCTTAGTCCATACGGATGGGTCTGTCACACGAATGTGATTGAGTTTGCTACATATCTCCCCTTTCCCATTGAGACTATCCAGACTCCAGACCTCCCAGCGGTCTGGTGCTCTGATAGTCTGCCGGCCTTTCTCAAAAGGTGTAGTTGTCCAGATGGCCTCCTGCCACCTGTGCCCAGTTGTAGATCCCGGGTCTTGTGGAAAAACAACCAGGATGCCTTCTCCCCTGGTTGGACCAAACTGTTGCTGGGGATGGCTGATGCAGTTTCCCTCATCTAGACCTGGTGGGTTGAGGCCAGCAAAACTTAGCTCTGTGGTCCTCGGGGCCCTTGATGTAGATGGTGCGCCATCAGGTTCTAAGGAAGAAGGGAAGAGAGGGGCCTAAGTGGCATCCCCTGGTAGGGGTTCGGGAGTTATAGACAAACGATTTTAGTTGCTGTTTGGGCGGAGAGTAAGAGGACCCCTTGACCTGATCAGGGAACACTGGGAGGGAGACCGGAGTACCAACGTACCATATGTGCTGGCATTTCGAGAGCGTCTGGAAGCGTTGACAAAATCAGTACGAGAGAACCTCCAGGCGGCTCAGCCAGCGCACATGGTATGATAGGGGCACCAGGGACCGCAGCTTTCAGGTTGGGCAGAAGGTCCTAATTCTGAAATCGGTCCGACATGATAAGCTGCAGGGCCCATATAAAGTGATGGAGCAAAGATGCGACATCACGTATATAATTGGCGCCTGCGCCGGGACTGGGGGGGCGACGCATGATCCATGTGAACATGATGAAGCCCTACCGAGAACGTTCATAGGAAGTAACCACCATTTGTGCTCCTTCCAATGAAGAGTTCGACAACCTGCCCCTCCCAGATCTACTGCGGTAGACTGTCCGGGGTTTTGGTGGAAGTTACTCTGGGGGATCGGCTGAGCCCACAGGAGCGTACCGAGGTGCAACAGTTATTAAGGGAGAAACAGGACACATTCTCCAATATACCTGGGTACACTCCTTTGGCCACTCACAGGGTAGAGACCCCAGGACAACTTCCCATGCGCCAAACACCTTACCGCATCCCTGAAGCGGTGAAGGAAAACATACGCAAGGAGATTGAGGAGATGCTGCAACTGGGGGTGGTTGAACAGTCCGATAGCCCCTGGGCCTCCCCTGTAGTCCTCGTACCCAAGCGAGATGGCATAACTCGCTTCTGCGTGGACTACCGGAGGTTAAACGAAAAGACGGTATCAGACGCATACCCTATGCCCCGAATAGAGGAATTGCTAGACTGGATGGCCAGAGGCCACTACCTCACGACCATTGATCTCTGTAAAGGGCATTGGCAGATTCCTCTGGCATCCGAGGCCATCCCTAAATCCGCTTTTGTCACCCCATTCGGTCTATACCAATTCAAGGTAATGTCGTTTGGGATGAAAAACGCACCCGCCACCTTCCAGAGGATGGTGGACCAACTCCTGGATGGATTTCAGGATTACACTTGTGCCTATTTAGACGACATAGCTATCTTTAGCAACACTTGGCAGGAACATTTGACCCACATGGGGGCGGTATTGGATAGGCTTAGAGAAGCCGGATTAACCCTGAAGCCGGCCAAATGCAGTATAGGTATGGCGGAGGTACAGTACCTCGGACACAGAGTAGGGTGCGGGAAACAGAAGCCCGAACCCGCCAAGGTAGAGGCAGTAGCCCAATGGCCCACCCCCAGGACAAAAACCCAGGTCCTTGCCTTTCTAGGGACCGCCGGATATTACCGAAAGTTTGTCCCCAACTATAGCGCCCTGGCCAAACCCCTTACTGACCTTACCCGCAAGAACCTACCCCGCCAAGTAACCTGGAGCCCGGAGTGTGAGAAGGCCTTCCAACTGTTGAAAGATACACTTGTCAATGCCCCTGTCTTGGCAGCTCCCAATCAAACAAAACATTTCCTTGTTCACACAGACGCTTCTATGTTTGGATTAGGGGCAGTATAGAGCCAAGTCGGGGCCGATGGCGGAGAACACCCCGTAGCATACATCAGTCGAAAACTACTACCCAGAGAAGTGAGCTACGCCGCCATCGAGAAGGAGTGCCTGGCTGTGGTGTGGGCCTTAAAGCAGTTGCAACCTTATTTGTACGGACAGTCCTTCTCCCTGCTCACGAATCACAACCCGTTGGTTTGGTTAAACCGGGTGGCAGGAGACAATGCCCGGCTGTTACACTGGAGTTTGGCGTTATAGCCGTTTGACTTTAACATCCAGTACCGCCCGGGAAAACAGAATAGCAATGCCGACGGGTTGTCCAGACAAACTGACCTTGAACAATGATCCGTGAGCCATCCGGACATCCCCAAGCCGATCCGTGTGGGATCAGACTGTGTATGGCGGCTTGTGGGCAAGGGGGAGCAGTGTAGCGGATAGCCTGTGACTGTCCGCCAGAATTATATGTTAAAAGACTGTTCGCCTGTTTTAACTGAATGTACATTGAAAATTGTATCTAAGTTCGTATGTTAGTTTGGTAGCATCCTTCACAGTTATACGAATGGAAACTACCGAATGCATAGACCACCTTAGAGACGAAGTGTGTCCCTAGTTAAACCCTTATTCCCTTTTTAACCGCAGCTAATTGAGGTTTTATTGATGTATCTGGGTGGCCGCCATTCGGTAGACGAACACGTGGCGGCGGCCATCTTACGCACGAACTCTCAGCCGTGTTTGGTCGTCGAGTGTCTGGAACCCAAATCGGACACTCGATTGCGCGAACACCGCTGAGACCTCCAGAACTCACGAACCGAGGGGCTAATAGACTCCTCGTTCGGTGAGTTCAATTTACCGAACAAAGGGTGTGGCGAGACCAATCTCGCCACTGTGTATTGGAGGAGTCTGGTTGCCTGCCTGCTGCCTTTTGACTATGGACCGGCATTTAAATACCCTATTTTCCTATGCAGAAAGGTAGATTCTCGGCCCTGGCGTTCGGTAGATTCTCGGATTTACTGAATAAACTCATTTAACCCAGATAGCTATGCCATGGAACCTATTCATGTAATAAAAGACTTTGGCTCCGTGGCAATTTAACTGTATGTGTTTGTGGTCTGAGTGCCATTCAGTATTGTGCGCTCAGACCTAAGCTATCTGGGCATATGTTGCATGTCTGTATTTTATGTCATAAATGTAACCTTGTGTATTTTATTGTATTTTACTGTCTTTTTGCTGCCATGTGTTCAATGGAGTTTTGCCTTTGGAGATAATTTGATTTCTTCCCAATTATCTCCGGGATATAAGACTCTGTGGAACTGGTTTTGGGCAGAAAAGCCATTCTTCCTGTGGTCACAAAGGATCTATCTTTTGAACCACTGGACCAATTTGTATGATTTTGACGTATGTTTGTATTTGGAGTATGCTGATTCTGAAAATGTGAATGTGATGCATACTTTTCATGTTATGATTAATGTGGAAAACTTGTATTTCTCTGCTTGTGCTAATTAAATTACCCATTGTGTAAGGTAATTGTATCACAGGCAGCAGGGAGGATTTTGTGTGGGAGTGTCTGAGTGTATTGTATGTGTTTATTGGTTGTGTTCCAAAACCCTGTGGGTGGTACTAATGTGTAAGAATGTGTACATAAGAACAATAAACCCACAGCTCTGGCTGTTCACTGCTTGACCCTCAACACGGAGCTTTGTCTCGTTCTTGGGGGGGGATTTACTGTATGCTGTTCCAGTTTGACTGCTAGGAGTGTAAACCTATTCGTATGGTTTTTTCCTATTCGGCTGTTTACAGCATTCATATGGTTTCCTGTTCGGCGGATTGGTGTTCTGCAGTAGCTGTGCCTGTGCATCTGGAAGATCTACTAATCAGCGTTTTAACCCTTTTATGCTGAGGGTGCCGTTACAAAGGGGTTCGTGCGAACCCAGTATTATCTATGGATTTCTGTTTCATCTCCCGAACGAAGACCGACCGCAGGGCCATAATACATGGAACTCCTTTTGGCTACCTATTCGTGTGCGGTCGGTCAAATAGTTTATTGTCTATAACTCCCGAACCCCTGGTCTGATCTGTGTGAATTTTGAGTATGTTGGTCACCCAGACCAGAGCTACCAGGGGATGCCACTTAGGTCATGGTACCCCACAGTTTTGGCACCAGGATTAAGTGGAATAAGTGTCACTCTGAGGGGAGGGAAAGTAGGGGAGGGAACCTCTGTATCATTGGTTACTGTTGTAATTACTGTAAATCCCTCCTTTGCATGGGAGAATCCTTTATAAGGAGCTGCTGTGAATAAATCTTTAGTTCTGCTCCTGATGCTGTGTGTCGTCCAGTCATTGGGATTGCGTTTGGGATGTTGTTGGAGACTTTTTGCCTGCTGGAATTATTACTCTGTGGATTTATTATACTTGTTCCTGAGCCTTATTGGGATCTAAAGTGGAGAGAGGCTATGCAATACTAGCTCTCCGCTACACTCACCCCGGAAGATATTTTCCCAGACAGTAAGATCCATTGTATCACCGCCGTGGCAGTAGCGCAGGCTCTCTCACTCTGGAAGCCATTATCAGACAGTAAGATCCATTGTATCGCTGCCGCAGAAGTAGCGCAGGCTCTCACTCCAGAAGCCATTATCAGACAGTAATATCCATTGTATTGCAGGCTCTCACTCCGGAAGCCATCATCAGACAGTAAGATCCATTGTATCGCTCCCGTGGCAGTAGCGCAGGCTCTCACTCCGGAAGCCATTATCCCAGACAGTAAGATCTATTGTATCGCTGCCGTGGCAGTAGCGCAGGCTCTCACTCCGGAAGCCATTATCCCAGACAGTAAGATCTATCGTATCGCCGCTGTGGAAGTAGCGCAGGCTCTCACTTCGGAAGCCATTATCCCAGCCAGTAAGATCCATTGTATTGCCACCGTGGCAGTAGCGCAGGCTCTCACCCTGGAAGTCATTATCAGACAGTAAGATCCATTGTATCGCTGCCGTGGCAGTAGCGCAGGCTCTCACCCCGGAAGCCATAATCAGACAGTAAGATCCGTTGTATCGCCGCCGTGGCAATAGCGCAGGCTCTCACCCCGGAAGATATTATCCCAGACAGTAAGATCCATTGTATTGCCACCGTGGCAGTAGCGCAGGCTCTCACCCCGGAAGTAGGCTCTCACCCTGGAAGCCATTATCAGACAGTAAGCTCCATTGTATCGCTGCCGTGGCAATAGCGCAGGCTCTCAGTCCGGAAGCCATCTTCAGACAGTAAGATCCATTGTATCGCCGCCGTGGCAGTAGCGCAGGCTCTCACTCAGGAAGCCATTATCAGACAGTAAGATCCATTGTATCGCTGCTGTGGCAGTAGTGCAGGCTCTCACCCCAGAAGCCATTCTCAGACAGTAAGATCCATTGTATCGCCGCCGTGGCAGCAGCGCAATCTCTCACTCCGGAAGCCATCATCAGACAGTAAGATCCATTGTATCGCTGCCACGGCAGTAGCATAGGCTCTCACTCCGCAAGCCATTATCAGACAGTAAGATCCATTGTATCGCTGCTGTGGCAGTAGCGCAGGCTCTCACCCCGGAAGCAATTATCAGACAGTAAGATCCATTGTATCACTGCCGTGGCAGTAGCGCAGGCTCTCACCCCGGAAGATATTTTCCCAGACAGTAAGATCCATTATATCGCCACCGTGGCAGTAGCGCAGGCTGTCACTCCGGAAGCAATTATCAGACAGTAAGATCCATTGTATCACTGCCGCGGCAGTAGCGCAGGCTCTCACTTTGGAAGCCATTATCCCAGACAGTAAGATCCATTGTATCGCTGCCGTGGCAGTAGCGCAGGCTCTCACTCCGGAAGCCATTATCAGACCGTAAGATCCATTGTATCGCTGCTGTGGCAGTAGTGCAGGCTCTCACCCCAGAAGATATCCCAGACAGTAAGATCCATTGTATCGCTGCCGCGGCAGTAGCGTAGGTTCTCACTCTGGAATGCCATTATCCCAGACAGTAAGATCCATTGTATCGCTGCCGTGGCAGTAGCGCAGGCTCTCACTCCGGAAGCCATTATCAGACAGTAAGATCCATTGTATCGCTGCCGTGGCAGTAGTGCAAGCTCTCACTCTGGAAGCCATTATCCCAGACAGTAAGATCTATCGTATCGCCGCCGTGGCAGTAGAGCAGGCTCTCACTTCGGAAGCCATTATCCCAGACAGTAAGATCTATCGTATTGCCGCCGTGGCAGTAGCGCAGGCTCTCACTTCGGAAGCCATTATCCCAGACAGTAAGATCCATTGTATCGCCACCGTGGCAGTAGCGGAGGCTCTCACCCTGGAAGTCATTACCAGACAGTAAAGTCCATTGTATCGACACCGTGGCAGTAGCGCAGGCTCTCACTCCGGAAGCCATTATCAGACAGTAAGATCCATTGTATCGCTGCCGTGGCAGTAGTGCAAGCTCTCACTCTGGAAGCCATTATCCCAGACAGTAAGATCTATCGTATCGCCGCCGTGGCAGTAGAGCAGGCTCTCACTTCGGAAGCCATTATCCCAGACAGTAAGATCTATCGTATCGCCGCCGTGGCAGTAGCGCAGGCTCTCACTTCGGAAGCCAGTATCCCAGACAGTAAGATCCATTGTATCGCCACCGTGGCAGTAGCGGAGGCTCTCACCCTGGAAGTCATTACCAGACAGTAAAGTCCATTGCATCGACACCGTGGCAGTAGCGCAGGCTCACTCCGGAAGCCATTATCAGACAGTAAGATCCATTGTATCGCCGCCGTGGCAGTAGCGCAGGCTCTCACTCAGGAAGCCATTATCAGACAGTAAGATCCATTGTATCGCTGCCGTGGCAGTAGTGCAAGCTCTCACTCAGGAAGCCATTATCAGACAGTAAGATCCATTGTATCGCTGCCGTGGCAGTAGTGCAAGCTCTCACTCTGGAAGCCATTATCCCAGACAGTAAGATCTATCGTATCGCCGCCGTGGCAGTAGAGCAGGCTCTCACTTCGGAAGCCATTATCCCAGACAGTAAGATCTATCGTATCGCCGCCGTGGCAGTAGCGCAGGCTCTCACCCCGGAAGCCATCATCAGACAGTAAGATTCATTGTGTTGCTGCCGTGGCAGAAGCGCAGGCTCTCACCCTGGAACCCATTATCAGACAGTAAGCTCAATTGTATCGCTGCCGTGGCAGTAGCGCAGGCTCTCAGTCCGGAAGCCATCTTCAGACAGTAAGATCTATTGTATCGCCGCCGTGGCAGCAGCGCAGGCTCTCACTCCGGAAGCCATTATCCAAGACAGTAAGAGCCGTTGTATCGCTGCTGTGGCAGTAGTGCAGGCTCTCACCCCAGAAGCTATTCTCAGACCGTAAGATCCATTGTATCGCTGCCGCGGCAGTAGCGCAATCTCTCACTCCGGAAGCCATCAGACAGTAAGATCCATTGTATCACTGTCACGGCAGTAGCATAGGCTCTCACTCCGCAAGCCATTATCAGACAGTAAGATCCATTGTATCGCTGCCGTGGCAGTAGCGCAGGCTCTCACACCGGAAGCCATTCTCAGACAGTAAAATCCATTGTATCGCCGCCGTGGCAGTAGCGCAGGCTATCACTCCGGAAGCCATTATCAGACAGTAAGATCCGTTGTATCGCTGCCGCGGCAGTAGTGCAGGCTCTCACCCTGGAAGCCATCATCACACAGTAAGATCCATTGTATCGCTGCCGTGGCAGTAGCATAACTCTCACTCCGGAAGCCATTATCCCAGACAGTAAGATCCATTGTATTGCTGTCGCGGCAGTAGCGCAGACTCTCACCCCGGAAGATATTTTCCCAGACAGTAAGATCCATTGTATTGCCGCCGTGGCAGTAGCGTAGGCTCTCACTCTAGAAGTCATTCTCAGACAGTAAGATCCATTGTATCGCTGCCGTGGCAGTAGCGCAGGCTCTCACCCCGGAAGATATTTTCCCAGACAGTAAGATCCATTGTATCGCTGCCGTGGCAGTAGCGCAGGCTCTCACCCTGGAAGCCATTATCAGACCGTAAGATCCATTGTATCGCCACCGTGGCAGTAGCGCAGGCTCTTGCTCCAGAAGCCATTATCAGACAGTAAGGTCCATTGTATCGCTGCCGTGGCAGTAGCGCAGGCTCTCACTCAGGAAGCCATTATCAGACAGTAAGATCCGTTGTATCGCTGCCGCGGCAGTAGCGCAGGCTCTCACCCCGGAAGCCATTATCAGACAGTAAGACCCGTTGTATCGCTGCCGTGGCAGTAGCGCAGGCTCTCACTCCGGAAGCCATTATCAGACAGTAAGATCCATTGTATCGCCGCCCTGGCAGTAGCGCAGGCTCTCACTTAGGAAGCCATTATCCCAGACAGTAAGATCCATTGTATCGCTGTCGCGGCAGTAGCGCAGACTCTCACCCCGGAAGATATTATCCCAGACAGTAAGATCCATTGTATCGCTGCCGCAGCAGTAGCACAGGCTCTCACTCTGGAAGCCATTATCCCAGACAATAAGATCCATTATATCGCTGCTGTGGCAGTAGCGCAGGCTCTCACCCCGGAAGATATTTTCCCAGACAGTAAGATCCATTGTATCGCTGCCGTGGCAGTAGCGCAGGCTCTCGCTCCGGAAGCCATTATCAGACAGTAAGGTCCATTGTATCGCTGCCGTGGCAGTAGCGCAGGCTCTCACCCCGGAAGCCATTATCAGACAGTAAGATCCATTGTATCGCTGCCGTGGCAGTAGCGCAGTCTCTCACTCCGGAAGCCATTCTCAGACAGTAAGATCCATTGTATCGCCGCCGTGGCAGTAGCGCAGTCTCTCACTCCGGAAGCCATTATCAGACAGTAAGATCCATTGTATCGCCGCCGTGGCAGTAGCGCAGGCTCTCACTCCGGAAGCCATTATCAGACAGTAAGATCCATTGTATCGCTGCCGTGGCAGTAGTGCAAGCTCTCACTCTGGAAGCCATTATCCCAGACAGTAAGATCTATCGTATCGCCGCCGTGGCAGTAGCGCAGGCTCTCACTTCGGAAGCCATTATCCCAGACAGTAAGATCCATTGTATCGCCACCGTGGCAGTAGCGGAGGCTCTCACCCTGGAAGTAGGCTCTCACCCTGGAAGTCATTACCAGACAGTAAAGTCCATTGTATCGACACCGTGGCAGTAGCGCAGGCTCACTCCGGAAGCCATTATCAGACAGTAAGATCCATTGTATCGCCGCCGTGGCAGTAGCGCAGGCTCTCACTCCGGAAGCCATTATCAGACAGTAAGATCCATTGTATCGCTGCCGCGGCAGTAGCGCAGGCTCTCACTCTGGAAGCCATTATCCCAGACAGTAAGATCCATTGTATCACTGCCGTGGCAGTAGCGCAGGCTCACTCCGGAAGCCATTCTCAGACAGTAAGATCCATTGTATCGCCGCCGTGGCAGTAGCGCAGGCTCTCACTCCGGAAGCCATTCTCAGACAGTAAGATCCATTGTATCGCTGCCGCGGCAGTAGTGCAGGCTCTCACCCCGGAAGCCATCATCACACAGTAAGATCCGTTGTATCGCCGCCGCGGCAGTAGTGCAGGCTCTCACCCTGGAAGCCATCATCACACAGTAAGATCCATTGTATCGCCGCCGTTGCAGTAGTGCAGGCTCTCACTTAGGAAGCCATCATCACACAGTAAGATCCATTGTATCGCTGCCGTGGCAGTAGCGCAGACTCTCACTTAGGAAGCCATTATCCCAGACAGTAAGATCCATTGTATCGCTGCCGCAGCAGTAGCGCAGGCTCTCACCCTGGAAGCCATTATCCCAGACAGTAAGACCCATTGTATCGCTGCCGCGGCAGTAGCATAGGCTCTCACTCCGGAAGCCATTATCAGACCGTAAGATCCATTGTATCGCCACCGTGGCAGTAGCGCAGGCTCTTGCTCCAGAAGCCATTATCAGACAGTAAGGTCCATTGTATCGCTGCCGTGGCAGTAGCGCAGGCTCTCACTTTGGAAGCCATTATCCCAGACAATAAGATCCATTGTATCGCTGCCGCGGCAGTAGCGCAGGCTCTCACTCAGGAAGATATTTTCCCAGACAGTAAGATCCATTGTATTGCCGCTGTGGCAGTAGCGTAGGCTCTCACTCTGGAAGCCATTATCAGACAGTAAGATCCATTGTATCGCTGCCGCGGCAGTAGCGCAGGCTCTCACCCCAGAAGCCATTCTCAGACAGTAAGATCCATTGTATCGCTGCCGCGGCAGTAGCGCAGACTCTCACTCTGGAAGCCATTACCCCAGACAGTAAGATCCATTGTATCGCTGCCGTGGCAGTAGCGCAGACTCTCACTCCGGAAGCCATTATCAGACAGTAAGATCCATTGTATCGCTGCCGCGGCAGTAGCGCAGGCTCTCATTCCGGAAGTCATTATCAGACAGTAAGATCCATTGTATCGCTGCCGCGGCAGTAGCGCAGGCTCTCACTTAGGAAGCCATTATCCCAGACAGTAAGATCCATTGTATCGCTGCCGTGGCAGTAGCGCAGGCTCTCACTCCGGAAGCCATTATCCCAGACAGTAAGATCCATTGTATCGCTGCCGTGGCAGTAGCGCAGGCTCACTCCGGAAGCCATTATCCCAGACAGTAAGATCCATTGTATCGCTGCCGTGGCAGTAGCGCAGGCTCACTCCGGAAGCCATTATCCCAGACAGTAAGATCCATTGTATCGCTGCCGTGGCAGTAGCGCAGGCTCACTCCGGAAGCCATTATCCCAGACAGTAAGATCCATTGTATCGCTGCCGTGGCAGTAGCGCAGGCTCACTCCGGAAGCCATTATCCCAGACAGTAAGATCCATTGTATCGCTGCCGTGGCAGTAGCGCAGGCTCACTCCGGAAGCCATTATCCCAGACAGTAAGATCCATTGTATCGCTGCCGCGACAGTAGCGCAGGCTCACTCCGGAAGCCATTATCAGACAGTAAGATCCATTGTATCGCTGCCGTGGCAGTAGCGCAGGCTCACTCCGGAAGCCATTATGTATTTGTTGATGAGGTCACCCGATACGCAGCCGGCAGCGAACGTCCTCTCAGGGGGCGGGGGGCGTCACTGTACGTCCTCTCAGGGGGCGGGGGGCGTCACTGTACGTCCTCTCAGGGGGCGGGGCCGCGGCCAGCAACGGGTTAACAAGGGTGGGGCTGCGCACCGAGTAAGATATTTAAGTAGGCGGGGCTGCGTCAGGGAACGTCATCAGAAAGGGGCGGGTCATTTAGGGCTGATTGACATGGAGGACGCGGCCGTCACGAGCCCAACGTCATCCCTGGCCGGAAACGCTGTGACCATATATGGTGCGGAGCGGAATTTTCTCGGCATTTCTCACAGGAACGATGGCGGATCCTTCTGTGCTCCCTGACAGGAGCTGGGATATACGAATACCAATAACAAGGAATATGGGCGGGGTCTCGTGAATCATCTGGTGAGAAGGGGCGGAGTCTGTCCGGGTGGCTGGATATAAAGAGTGTCCGCCGCGCGCTGTTCCGTTAGTCAGTCTGAGGAGAGGAGGAAGGCATGGAGCATATTGGGGGTCTCTGGCTCCGGGCATATAGGCAGCCCCTGGAAATTACTCTACTCGTTAAAACTTTTTATTTATTTAACGATTTTTAAAGTTTTTTTATTTTCGCTCTTTTGTTGCTGTTTTTGTTTAATGGTGCCTATATTCAGTGTCCCATGTTATTGGATTAGATGTGGTGCATGGTGGCTTCCTGCCAGGGAATCTGTTGGAATATAATGACAGGTAACATCCCCTGCCTCAGGTCATTAACTAACTCCTAGCTGGTTTAATAATATAACCCCCTGTGTGTGGGTACATTACCAGAGACACCATGTTATAATGTAACTAATGTAATTAATGTCATGGCTCTCAGCTGGCTGCAAACATCCCATGTCTGTCACCATAACACAGTAATGAGAATATCCTAAAGGGATACTCCAACCACCATCACCACTTCAGTGGCGTGCAGTTGTTATGGTGGTTGGGGTATGTATATGCAGTGTTTCAGACTAGGACCAGGGACCATGCAGAGTTATTCTAATATGTGTAATGTGAGTGCTCTCCCCTGCATCCTGCAGGTTTTTAGAGGAAGGGCATTTAGAACCGGAATATTGTCCCCTCTACCTCCACACCCCCAAATATAACAATCAATAAATATTAATGTCTTGCCATTGGCTGCGCTGTACCAATCACCAAAATGAAGAAAGAACAAACCTGTAGTATCATACGTTTTCATTTCCCCCTTTTTTTTCCTTATTTTTTTTTTTTTTTCTTCTTTTAATGTTTCTTTTATTATTGTATTTTGTCTTATCAAGAAATAAGCTAAATCTGAAGTTACAAGGGTAAATGACGGGTATACCCTACTAACAGGAGTCCATGTGGCTAAATCTTTAAAACTTGGTTTATTATTGTTCTAAAATAAAACACTATAGAAAGGAAAAATATATATTCATAAGCTAAAGTGTTTAAACCTCAACCAAATGTAGAAATGCTTGGTATCTGTAAGTGACAATGCTGTATCAAGTAGAAATATGAGCGTCAGTGCTCTAAAATGTGTATGGATTTATACAGTTAAAATGGTCAGAGGGGTTGGGTGATTGTGCTCTCTGCTGGTTACACTATTCGTAATGTACGTCTATTCTTTGCTCATGCCATTGTACAGAACACTGGTGAGACCTCACTTGGAGTATTGTACGCAGTACTGGAGACCGTATCTTCAGAAGGATATTGATACCTTAGAGAGGGTTCAGAGAAGGGCTACTAAACTGGTTCATGGATTGCGGGATAAAACTTACCAGGAAAGGTTAAAGGATCTTAACATGTATAGCTTGGAGGAAAGACGAGACAGGGGGGATATGATAGAAACATTTAAATATATAAAGGGAATCAACACAGTAAAGGAGGAGACTATATTTAAAAGAAGAAAAACTACCACAACAAGAGGACATAGTCTTAAATTAGAGGGACAAAGGTTTAAAAATAATATCAGGAAGTATTACTTTACTGAGAGGGTAGTGGATGCATGGAATAGCCTTCCATCTGAAGTGGTAGAGGTTAACACAGTAAAGGAGTTTAAGCATGCGTGGGATAGGCATAAGGCTATCAAAACTATAAGAGAAGACCAGGGACTAATGAAAGTATTTAGAAAATTGGGCAGACTAGATGGGCCGAATGGTTCTTATCTGCCGTCACATTCTATGTCTAACGTATGTATTTCCATGTAGCTGGTCCGAATTAATAAGGAGGAAGACCAATTGATTACAGCTTGCTGTCTTGTCATAGCCTGGGCCCCCGACATGTGTATACTGGGATGTATGAGTTCTAGTTTGCATATTGTAACAGACTATAAAACATTAATAAAATAAAGCACCTGCAATACAGGAGTTGATGTCTATGCAGGATTTCCAGTTCCAAAAGGTCTGGACAGACCATTCTGAAAATATCAGAATTTTTGTCCATAGACGGCAAATCCTTACCTGACCGACTTGTTCTTATCTTCTCTCTGACATGAAAGTAGAGCACACGTAGCAAGACACTCATGGCCGTAGAAGGTAATTATGACAGTTTTTCCTCTCCATAGACCAGATCCAACAGCGGCACCTCTGCATGAAGGTTTGGCACTAGTGACTTGAACAGACTGTGTAGATCTTGCAGGTGGATGGATTCGGGATCACCCCTATATGGAGGTTACTCCTCCTCGATCTATCCACCATATCCAAAATCTTGGCCTTATAGGCCTCTAGGTGATTTTCCATTTCCTGCACCCAGTCAGGTGTATCATTGTGGGCTTCCGCATGTTTATCAAACTTGGCTACAATATGGGTGGTTCTGGTTCCTAAATCCATCACATCCTGGTGTTTAAAAAATGAAAATCTGCATTCTTTCTAAATACACTTAGACCAGCACTAACCCAAACCTAGAAATATTTTATATTTCAGGATATGTTTTTAATGGCAGAATATATATTAGGGGACAATAACGCCATCTCAGGGTTTTGGAAACCTTTAGAAAACAATCACCCTTAAATTTTCAAAACCCAGCATGGCAGAAGTTTCCCATAATGCTCTTTTAAAGTATTTTTTAATACTTGTTTATCCATAGCTCTCAACATCAGTCTCATGTGAAGTGGGAGAGGTAAGTGTGGGGTGTGGCCAGTGATGTTGTTTGCATAATTGGCTCCTCCCAAAGGGGGGTGGATCCAACTGTAGATATGACAGGTCAACCAGGCTGCCTG